CTACATAAATTCTAAATTTATGTTGGCTGCTCTGAATGTTCTAATTCCCATACAAATCGTGTACTATTTACATCGAGACTTGCGGTCAAATAGTATGACATTCCTTTTTGAGGAGAAAGGATGTAATAACTCTCCATTGTTTGATGCTACCTTCTATGAACATTACATTTTCCATTTTTGTTCTTCTTTTCTTGAAACTGTTAGTAAAAGAGCACAAAATCGTGACAAAATCGGTGTGAAGTTATGTCGCGTTAGTGACCTTTACCTAAATGCTTTCAGTACACGTCAAATTGCTTCATGACCATATAATGAATCGCTAGCGTAATTTCCGTGCATTATATACTTTCAGAAGTCTCCGCCAGTACATCTCAGAAAATATCGAAGAATGTTTTGTAGTTTTTTCAAAATTGTTAGGCCAACCTTATTACTGCACTACTTAATTGCCGAAATGAAATTATGAATTGCAACTATTAAATAGCAGATCAGATAAAAAAATAAAGACTGCCATGATAAACCGATGAATTTTCGATTGACTGGAAGATTCTGAATTAACGGAAAATAAATGCATTATTGATGATGCTAAAAATTCAAACTGTTCCAGTCAAAAAAATCATGATGCTTTTCTGCTATCCATCTTCACAAATAGAAATAACTTGTGCACTATTGATTTAATCGCCTAATTGTCGTAAATTATGAAAAGTTGACGGATGCAATGACATTTATCATATAATAATACTGAGAAAGTGGTTATTTATACTATTATTGATGTTTCATAATCTCTACGCAAGTGCTGCAATAATTCCTGTTTCTGCTTGTCATCAATACGATCCAAAAATAATTCATTGCTTTGATACTGACCAGAATTATTAATTCATATACCAAAACCACCCGCAATATAAAAACGTATTGCATTGATAAAGCTACCAATGATATCGTAAACAAATTTGTTAAACGAAACATTGTAATAATAATTATTATAAGCTTTTTCAAAAGTTAATAACTGATTCGAAATTCTATTTAATTGTTTAATCTAAAAACTATGTCCCGTGATCAAGAAGTTTACAATATTTTGATGATGATAACGTGGCAGATCTTTGGAAAAATACACTAAAATTCAAAGAAAAATTAATAATACTGACTGGCAATCTTTATAATACTGATTAATTCTTCATTCTTTCTTTTTACGAAGTTTTTATATGTAAAATAATTTGTTTTTAACCATATTGTCTAACAGTGTTGCAGGTTCAAATCTGCAAATAAATTCATGTATTTCTTCAAGCTCAAATCTTTCCGCTCATTGAATTTTAATGAAATGAACTTGACTTTTGAGGACTTAAAATGTTTATCTGATCCACAATGAAGTAAATTCAGTGCTTTTATATTGCGAGGAATTTTAAATGAATACTATATTAGTATTTTATTAAATTGGAGAAAATTGTTTCGATTTCGTTTAAATTTGTTTACTTACACTTGTTTATTTGACTGGCACAATCACGCAATATTATATAGCTGAGAAATTTCTAAAACTGTTTTGAATAACAAGTCTGATCCAAAAATTTACTCAAAAAAAAATTTTTTTTGGAAAGAAAATTTAATTTGTGAAAATTAAATCTTATTATTCCATAGATCTGAAATCATACAAGGTTTTGCTATTTCAGAAATCTATGATACAGTAATGAAAGGAAGGAAATTTTCTTCATCAGACACGTGAATATCTGTTGTACCCCCTGCCAGATCAACAGTTGAGAATGAACTTAAAGTTGGATGAAACACAGGTAGTGGTCACTATGTATGTAAAAGTAAAAGGGCGGAATGATATTTTTATGTGTGCAAATGATGCTGGGAGAGGCACTATTGCAAACGATATGGTCTATGGATCATAGAGGTATTTAGCATCCTCTTTAATTAGACATCAAACACATAAAACTTATTTCTTCGCTGCAAGAAATGACTGATCCAAAATTGATGGAAGGGTTGGAGACAGGAGATGGAAAAAACAGTTACGGGGTCAGGGTTGGAGAGCTAGATGCTTCACATGAACAATTTACCGATTTATGTTGTTGATGGTCAATTACTATTTCACTTGACACTTCAAAGCCTTGGAACCGTCTTTCAATTGATGTTATCAGTACCTACTTTCCTAGCCTCTCTACGCAACATACTTTCATCTCTCTTACCGAAATGAAGCTTTTCTTCCATTACAATTCCGAATTTATACAAAAATAAATCATTCGGCAAGTTTACAAGCCCTTTTTTATGTCTTCTCAGCCTAAATTTTAAAGATTTCATGAAAGAACCACAAATGTCCTACATTATTAAAATACACATTCTTGAAAATAAATCGACTACATTATGCTTTTAAAATTGTACATTTTAAATTTTCAAGCAAATTTTTCCTGTTTTCACTGTAAATGTCATATAATTGCTTTGAATACGGAGACACCAATCACTGTATAAGTAATACTTTATTAGCAATTCTTACATCAAACATCTCCCAGGTAAAAAGCTATCAAGAGAAACTTTTGTTCGATTCATCAAAAATGAATAAATGATTACTTAAACATATGTCTTTTTGAAAATGTTATAAATTAAAGTATTCTCCTCATCTTTTTGCAAATATGACAAAGTATTCACCGCATCAACGGAACTGAATTGAGGGACGTATTTGTGGTAACGGCTTGATAGTCGGTACATGGGACTCTTGACGAATCTTACACTGCCCGGTTCATTTGAAATATTTTCTGTTTAATGATCTAACTTTAAAAAAATAAAACATGAATGAAAAATATACAAAGATGAGTGAAAAAAGCAAAACTTTACAGTTTCCTCGAAAGCCCAAATGATACATATTTGCAATGTATTAATTAACACTCAACTACATTTGCTGCTAATGAAGATCAGAATCTTGACCAAGCTAATAAAATCTATGCAACTATAAAGGAGGATGCTACGAACATGATATGTCGAAAACTAATTTATGAAAATATTTTTACATAGTGTTGATTTCTCAAGAATTATCGAGACACTCAGAACTAAGGAAAGAATTTTATACAGCATCCCAATGCTCTTCAATGAAACTTTTCCATCTAATTTTTATTTTACACCCCGATATTCCGCCAGTGATTTTTAAAAATTACAACTTACAGCTGGAATCCAGATTATACGGTAGTCAAGTATAATTGGAAATTTGGGGATACATTCAGAATGCTTTCGGAATAGCAACAATAGCTTCTTGAAACATTTATCAGCGCTTCGATCACTATCACAATGAGCGAGAAATCGTCTTGCCTCTTCAAGCATTCAGACTGACTGAAACCATGCTCCCTCCCCTCTCCCCCCTCCCTTCCCCTACTACAGTTATTGTATTTCGTTATGACAAATCAAAGTTTTATATAGATCGATTGTAGCTAATTTGATCTTCAAATGCGCTCATTCCATCAGGACTAGGAAAAGCTAGATCAAGCGTTAGTAGCAAAGGAGGCATGGTTTCAGTCAATCTTGCATGCTTTAGAGATTTCAGCTGGAGGGGCCCATATAATTAAATAACTGCCAATCTCCATTCTTTAATATACATCAATATTAACCGTCTTGAAAGAGAAAGTTACACGGCACTGCAACAGTTAGCAACTTCAGCAAGTATATGTTAGCCCTCCTTAAATCGTTATTAGTAACTTTATGAACTGTACCATGGACAAGCCTTGGACCACGGCATGCTTTTCCTGAAATTAAACACGAATATAAACTCAACAGTATATCTGATAAATAGAAGTTGCGAACAAATCTTAGGCAATCAACGTTAACTGCTATACCTTGAGACTTGAAACTGTTGAAGATATAGTAATGCATTTGTAGACAAAAATATAAGATGGAAATTTCTGGAAATAGATGGTATCATTTGAAGATGTTAAATATAAAATATACACACTATAACGGACAATAAAGCACAGAAATTTTAAGTGAATTGAATGAGGATGCAGATAGAGTTCCGAAAAAATAATAAACAACTCACTACAGAAACAACATATTTTGGTCTATTAAATTTATGTTAATTTACGATTTCAAGGGAAAAAAATAATGGAAAATGAACTGGAATGCAACAAAATCCACTTGCAAAGTTTTACAATTTATTGAACAAAATTAATTTGAGATGATGACTAACAATGATCAAATTACAAAAAATATCAACAAGACATAACAGAAAGCATCCACAACCTTATGAGCAGCAAAAATGTCACACCCCAGGTAACATAATAAAAAATGAGGAGATATAAAAATATAAGTCTTTGACTATGCTAGAAAGTGAATACGTTCTATCAAATTATTAAAACTCCAGCGAATATTGCGTTTTTTCAAGAAAAAATGTATTGTTTCATAAAACTGAAAAGAATAAACAATCTATCTTTATCCACTGAAGAAAAAGATTAAAACACTCAGAGATCACTTTTCATTACAATCAGCTAGAAAGAACATTTATATCCCACTATTTATAATCCAAAACAACAGATGATTTAAAGGGTACAGAGGACTTAATATGTGAAGCCTTCGAAAGCCGATGATTTTAAAATCTTCAAAATCATCAATCTCCCTTCATTGAGCAGAACAGCATCAAAAGAGATCATGATTTACATGGATTTAACTTTTTCGCAGGTGTAAAATTTTCAGTGTTGTGGAAAAGCAAAATGAAACTTGCTCTCTCAAATTAAATCATCCATTATGGAATCATTGACAGGTGAACAAATAACTTAATAAAGATAATACAAGTAACAGTTGCATTTTTGATTAACCGAGACGAGTGAAGTAAAAAAATACAATTAGTCATGGCAATAAAAATATCTCTCGACAACATCTGTCAAATATAGTTACCAGTATTGCATGCACTGTATGAAATGTGTCGTCATTTGCATATCATCTTAGCAAAATTAGCTCTTGATTTTATGAAAACTTATTTTTTCAGCTTTTGATTATTGACGATGTATATGAATTTCGTTCACACCTGTAATTCATACCCAGCTATCACCACCCGTTGGGCCACAGCGTTCACTGCGTTTATGTACCGAAGCGTAGAGCGGTTCACCAGCCTTAAAATCCTGACTTGGGTGGCAAGAAGATAAAGCATGGGTGGCAAGAAGATAAAATATATTCACGTAAATAAGTGCAGAAATAGTGAATTTCTAAAAAAAGATCCACACTTCATGTCAACTTCAAACGAATTAGTTAATTAACGATATAGTTGGCAGCAATGAATTTGTGAAGTATTTTGTTTGAAATTAATGTCTGACACTAACATTAGTTGAATAATTTTCAGATATTATTTCCTGGAAAAATAAACCTGGTTATGAGGTCCAGACGAATGCATCTTGCTACTGCAACTTTGCAGAGAAAGATTTTGTGGATTATTCTCAGGAGAAGTTTTGCCATGTGCAGAACCTTCTGGTGCACTCGCCTGTAAGACAAAATTTTTGTCAACATAAATTTGCTCAAACAACAAGAACTGATTCGATATATCCCAATATTCAAAGGTTTTTTATTCAAGGATGACCTTAGAAAAATCATAAATTTCACTTTTAAAAAACATCATGTGAAACGTCAATTAGCATACCCTACTATCCAATGTATCATATCGTCCGGTTCCGTATGTGCTCGCACTGTCATCAAAATTTTCACTTTTTAAATGTGTTGGACGCTCAGCGCCTTGTGATGATATTGGCCGAGATAGTGTTGTCGCATCACGGGCACGAATTGTTGTTCCCGAATAAAAATCTGACTCTTTCAAACCGTTTCGTCTGAAGCCATCATGAAGTTCTTTATGCTGCCACATCAGGTAAAGAACCTGTAACATCAGGAACATCAGCAACCTTATCAGTTCATATCCAACACCCTAGTTAGTTGTAGTCTTTCCATATCTGTTGTTTACTTATATGTTCGGTTCCGATTCAAAAGTCTACTCAGTTGAAGCTACAATAAAAGAAAGTATAGATAAAATTGGTGAGTAATCTCCCGTAAAGAACTGAAAAAAACTAAAAAAGGATAAATTTGGACAACCTGCGACGCATATTTGCAAATACGAGTGCTGTATATATGATGTAAACTTGCTAAATTTCGTAGTCGATCGGTCCCTCCACATTCATGGATATTTCTAAAACAACATAGATGTAATACTGGAAAATCGTGCTCACTTCGTTTTTAAGTGAAAATGATATTCAAAATAAATTTCCACAATACTTCAAAAATATGATTGCGGGAGCCCAGAGAGATCAGGAACCTTGTAAAATCTGCGGAATGCTTGACAGTTTCAAACAATATGCCCAAAATTGCTCCAATTGTTGCATCGCTCACATTTGGATCTCGAAATCGTTGGTCAGCTCGAGGCAACTTTGCCACCAGATCTTTCATCGCATATTTGCCGATCAGTTCGCGATTCCGCTATAACATCCATATATCAGCAAAGATCTTTCATATAAGGCTTGGTGGGAAATACTAGAGACTTAGTACCAACGAGTATTTTCGACTTTATAGCAAAAATATTGGAAACTACACAAATTCTAATAAGATGCAAATAGTGACCTGATCAAGCGAAAGGTTTCGTAAAGCTGTTGTTACAGCACAAACAACTTTATCGTCATTCAATCGTAATAGTTCCACAAGCACATGCAAACCTTTTTCTGTACGTATACAGGCTCTGACATTAACTGATGGCTCGAAATGGCACGCAGCAAGGTTCTGTATTGCACCAGCACATGCCTGAAAAATTCATATTTATTAAAACTTCTTAATGAATAACAGAAATTTTGCGGTTCAGCCACAATAGAGCCTGCAGATTTTAAGCAAATGAGTAGTGGTCAAAGAAGAGATATGAAAATGATGGCCTTCAAACTTATGCATAGAAATATTACCTCCAGAATTTCAGGATTTGACGCTTCTTGCAATAACTTTAGATACAGTTTTACCAGCTGCGGCTGCCATAACAATTCTGCTTCCTACAAAAGCTCTTCATTAAAAACTGATTTCACTAATTTATAAACAAATTATAAATTCAGACAAAACTCAAAAGGAAAGAAACATAAAGATAGCATGTCCTAAATGCCACAAGATAAATTTTCTATACTAACATAGATACCTTTCAAAAGTTCCTTATGTTTTTTTTTTCTTTTGAGTTTTGTCTGAATTCATAATTTGTTTAAATTACTAAGGACATTAAAATAAAAATAAAGAAAATGTACCGTCACACTTTCTGATCCATTCAATGCAGAGATTTGCCCAATTTTTTTTTTTTTATTAGATTCTTTCTTCTTGTTTTTAGGACTTTCTGAAGGAGCCGACTTATTGCGTTCCCGTTGCGTAACTTCAAAATCAGCTTTAGGGTCGTAATTTTCATCCTTTACTTCTTGAATTCTGGAGAAATAAAACTGTTTGTCACTATAATTTCCTTGTACGGTAATAAATAATTGAAGATTTTAAAGTAAAACAAAGCTTGCCGGTAGCTGAGATTACGTAAAGTGCACACAACATTTTCGACAGTACGTGTATCAATCTGATTCCTCAAAACTGCATGATGCAAATAATGTACAAGGCTTTCGATTAAGCCAGGACATCCACGAAGTATTTTTCTGGCATTTGAGGAAGCAGCCGAAACATTTCTGAAAACCTACGATGTTTTCTTATTCCAAATTGTCATTAAAAATATAATCGCATTAGTGGAATTGTTGCAACATTTTAGTAAGGTAATATTGCAGAGGATTCTTTAAAATAATGAAAAGTTGCCTCAAAACACCAGTTCCATTTTTGAACATATTGATGCTGTGTGACATATTGCGTCCACTTTCAGTATTGTTTCCAGTTAATCCAGAACCAGGTACAACAATACGTTGATTTATTGGTTCCGAAACTTGATTAAGTATTGTTGGTTTCAAGTCCTGCAAATTTATCACTCTATTTACTTTTAGAAAATTTGTGCAAATGTACATCACAAATCTTTCTCAAAATCATAGTCAAAACACCTACATCGCAACTTGAGAGATTCCATAGAGTAGCAGTGACTTCCTCCATCACTTGCGCATCGTGAGTCTGCTTCAACAGCGCAGCTAAAGCAACGATTCCACCTGCGCCATTAATAGCACGCTAAAAAAAAATTGCAATGAATTTGCAGGATTACTCCCGCATCCATACTATTTAAACTTTTTTGGAAACTCTCCTTTGTCCTAAACAATACTTTATAGAAAACAAATTTACCTTATTTTCATCATTTTCTTTCCCAAATGACAGATTCTTCAAGCAACCACAAACATTTTTCTGTATGTCGGGTACATCGCTACCAAGTAAACGAACAAGTTTCGGAATTCCATTTAGTTCTCTGCAAATCAAATTATCTCAGCTTAAATCAAAACCAATCTCTAATGAATCAAGTAATTTCATGCAGAACCAGCAACAAGCTTTCCACAGAAAAAAATCACCTTGTTTCCTCTTTAATAGCATTATCATTATAGGTCAAATGCTGCAAGTAGCCGGATGCATTGAGTTGTTCAACCTTATTTGCGCTATCCAAATATTCAATCACTTCTCTAAGCGTTGGATCTCTCCAATGCACTGAAAGTTTCAGAACATTTACTATCCGCAAAAGTACATTATAGTATTTCAATACCAAATTATCTACATTATGTATTGAAAAGCTAACAACCGTCTCTTTCCCGCAGAAATTTCCTGTGTATCGGTGGTGGAGAATCATCACGATCAGGCAAAGGTGGCGATTCGCGTACAATTTCATCCTGAAGCAGTGGAACAGTTCCATAAGTTGCTGTTTCTACGTAACTATCATCGCCATCTGAAAACAAATTTGACTGAAAAAATCATAAAGCCTTCAATGTATTTTATAAAATAAAAATCCAATCCTCTTCTTCGAAAAAAAACTACAAGTAAAGCAATTACTGTAAGATATTCCTATGTGTACTCCTGGTGAAGGATCTGAAGGTACTGAGTAACCAATAGAATTGCATGCTATAACGCGAAACTGGTACTCATGACCAGGTATAAGGTCACCAACTGCAAGACAACATTTAAATGCTATAATACATGATAAGTGGCACGGCAATATATCTCAAGTTATAGTGCATTAAAAATTTTGACATTTAAATAATTGTGTCTGCCAGTTAATTCGAATGATGGTCTGCAAATAGCTATTTGGGTAATAATCATCAGCATTATCGAGTCGCATAGTAAAGAATGAAAAGATATGAGGAAGTAAAATCTTTAATTTGTATTTTCTTTACGCTATGACACATATTTTCGAGCAATAGAAGCTTTTCTCTTTGCATCCAAAGAAGCCAAATGGCAGAGAAACCATCAGCAGAAATAAAATATCCACGTTTAAAAATACCTGTCATTTTGCAGGAGCGAAGAAGTACTTCATTTACTTTGTACCACGCAGCATCCTGCTGATGGTCTCGGAATTCAATATCATAGCCCTGGAAGACACCAAAAATCAAAAACTATTCCTGAAGACTGCCAAAGATGGAAAAAAGAAATCTTTTTTTCTTTCGTAATCCCTATTTTTGATAGCCTTACCTGTATCGGTAAAGAACTCGCAGCTGGAAACCAGCAGAGTGTCACACGATCATCGTTGCCGAAGTCGATATATTCTGGTGGTTGTGGCTTTGCTGGAACTCCATGCAAGACTCCAGATTTAATGGATGGTCGCAGATGTACAACATCAGAAACTTCTGAAGGCGCTGATACACTACCATTACGAGCACGTGCAATTACGCGGAATTCATAAGTAGAATTTGGACGAAGACATTCCACTAAAACCAATAGCACTTTGTTTTTTTACAAAAAGTTAACAAAATATCACATTTTGAGATATTTCATAAAAATCATTCCAGACAGGAAACCATAAATAAAGTTTCTAAAATTACCAGTATAGGACGTAGTAGAAACAACCGTTGTCGCGGTATACCATAACGGATCACCAATTTCTCGATATTCGACAATATATGAAGCTGGAGGCTCGTCTGGTGATCCACCTTCTGCCCAATGCAGTCGTACCCAGTTTAATTCAAGTTCCTCTATCTATAAAAATGGAAAAACACGAAAACAATGTCGAAAACAAACTTAACTGTTTCCTCGTAAACTAATCATGGTTTTCACGAACCTGTGGTTGTCCAGGAGGAGAAAAGCTACTTTCTGTCTTCGTCGTAGGTGGAACACGAGACGGAACAGGTGGTTTCAAACGAATAAAACCGGACGACGGACTTGGTTCAGACGGGCCATCGGCAGTTTTCGCTATTACTCGGAACTCATATTCTCCATTCGGTTTTAAATTCAATACTGCAAAGCCGAAAGATAGTTAAGTGACAAAACTATTAAATAAATTAATTCTGGTGTCAGAAAGTTAACTAACGAAATACATAATTGGTGATAAATCAAATGTCCGTTTATCAAATCTTCTACGACTCTCATTCTTGATGGAATGTTGATGGCAGGATATAAACACAACTGGTATCATATCTGATCCATTAAAACATTGCTTCAACGACAATCAAGAATACAAATATATGTAAAGTTCAAACCTTCAGTTCTGCATGCTGTTATTAGATAATCATTTGATTGTATCCAATTACTGCCGCCTGTACGATAACTAACCTGAAAAATAAAAATAAATGGAAAGAGAATCAGCGATATCAAAAAACTGATAACTATTGAAACAAATTATCTCTCTGTAACTTATTTCAGCACTTCTTTGAATTTATTTTCTCATGTATTTCAGCAATTTTTATTAATAATACAATGATTCTAAATTAAATTCAAAACTTGCCTCGTAACCTGCCACGGGCGCAGAGCCAGGATTCGCAATTGCTGGCGCCCATTCCAATATAATGCGATCAGAATCAAGTAATAGTACGTAAGGTCGACCAGGTGCCATCCCTCTCCAACCATCTAAAAAAATTGAACCATCCATTTCAATCTCAGTTATAAGTTACTACCAAATAATAACATATACTTACTAAAATCAGAGTGTAAATCATAATCCAATCGCAGCTGCACACTTGCCGAAGTGGCTGAAGGCATACCACGACCTGCCGAGTTAACAGCAACAACTCTTATTTCATACTCGACGTGAGGATTGAGATCTTTAACTGAAAGTAAATTACCATGTTAAAAAGTTGAATAAGATCCCGGAAAATTTCAAACAATAAATTCAATCCAGAAACTGAGTGTAAAGCATCATCTTTCATAAAAATTATAAAATGTGCTGCAAGTTGTTTACAAAATCCTACAACAATGCAGGCAGAAATTAATAATTTTAATAAGCTAACAGATCTCAAGTACATACTTCTAAATCTATTTTCCTTGATCAGATCTTCATGAGCGAGGTACCATTCAGAAGTTCCAATTTCACATATTTCAACCTGAACGAACTCTCATTTGAATCAAAATTTCAATTATTTCCCATAAATTTTAGCTTACTGTGTAAATAATAGATCACCTGGTAACCAATAACTGAGCCAGCTCTCCCTTGCATATCTGGACACTGCCACGTCAAACCAATATCGTAGCTAGTCACGTCAGTAATCTCTGGAACGCCGGGTGCACTTGGAACATCTGAAAGATTTATTTTAATAATAGCTTTTCTCTAACAAAGTCGATTAGCAAGCGTAAACATTCATTTCATGTAACGCAGCGCAGTAAAAGTGTGACGATTACACATCAAACAGAGTGTATACATGACTCCCCTCCCATCAAGGTTTATGAAATTGAAAATTACAAAACTGGAATTATTGTTTTCGATTCATAAATCTTGAACTGTTGATAGTTTTGACTACTTCGTTTTTCCAAATCATAATAATACTTGGCTTGTTTGTCTTCTTGAAGCTTTTGACACATACATATCTTACTTCAAAATTAGCCAAACACTGTCAATCTCATATCAATATAAAGCTGTTGAGTAAATTCTAATGAATCCGACAAACAGAATTAGTAAAAAAAATACCTCGTAAAGCATAGCATTCAGCTTCATGGAATGAACTTGGAGCAGGTGGTGGTGCATCATAAGCAATGTCATGTCGACAGGAAATATCTTCATCTGCAGAAAGAACAATTTACTATCTGTTTAAAGTGCATTACAATTCAAATTTAAAATTTGGAGATTTGTTACATTTTGCAAATTTTACAATGTGGAATAAAAATATATCATAAAATTTATTGCTTCACGGTGATTACCATGTTCGTAGGGCGGAGTTGTACGTGTAACTGGTAACGGACTTCCATCGGCATCAAAAAAATATTCGGCTTCTTGATTAGCGACAGGTAAATGACGCACCGACCTTGTTGTTGTTACTTTGGTAACGCGAGTTATCTGCAAGTTAATGCACAACTTACAAAGTTCTTAGTATATCATGAATTGCATATTGCGTTAAATACAGAATAAAATAATGTAAATGAAAGTACGACATTTCAACAATTAAAATAGGTAATATTATATGACAAGGCGAACTTTTTTTGTTTGAGATGAATGTCGCTCAATATCACCATTAACTTCTTTATTTAGCAATCGAACATCGGGTGATGTTTCGTCGGGAGGCTCATCATAATGTGACTCGTAAGTGTAGGAATATGTTGAACCGCGTGCACTGGTTGGTCCAGCTAACGTTTCGGATAAATATGTTGAAGGGAGTCTGGAAAGACGTGAAATTAGCTAAATGATTAGTATGCAGTATGCACCAGAATCATAAAAATTGTTTAAAACTTCGACAATGATATTTAGAATTTGCTTTAATTACACTGAATGTGATGGTTCGTCCTTCTTTCTTGGCTTCCATGTATCTGCTATTGCTGACTGAGGTACTCTGCTGTAACATTAATTCTTGAACATTCAAAAAGAAAAAGCAGTGTCCAATTTACATCATATTATAAGTGGTAAGAAATGTTTAAAAACTTATTAAGTGCGACAATATTCCAGATTTTTCAGGACAGCGGCTTGCAATCTAATCGGTTAGTGAATTGTATCACCCAATCTAACTTAAATCCATGCTTTATTGAAATGAAGCATACCTTACAAGAGTGTCTACTTGTTCTGATGTATACACTTCTGTAAGCCGAGATTTCTTTTCGTGCTTTATAGTATGTGCGGGAGAAAATGAAGTAAGCTCGTGATCTTCCTCCGGAATGGGTTCCATCTGAAACATATTTAGAGCAGATGATTTGTCAACAAAAAAAAGTTAATTTATGTTTAAAGTTGCACGTTATATTGGAGTGGATTCACAAACAAATACGAATAAATATATGAAATAAGTTCACAAACCGAACGAAAGACAGTGACCTCCCTCCCTTTCCTTTCATCAATACATCACGATTTAACAACAGCTCAACGTTTTGCAGTGCATTCCTCCGAAGAGCAAGCCGACCACTTTTAATCTTTGTCTAAATGAAAGCATGCGATCATAGTTCGCTTACTCAATTAAACGGATTTTTAAAAGAAAAGGAAGCAAAGTAAAGGTAAAAGTAGTGCAGTTCCAACGATCAATGAAGCTTTCGCCACATTTTCGTTCGCATTTGTTTGAAATTCGAATTTAAAACCAAGAAGTATAATTTCGCAAATTACAAGTCCACATTTCCTATTTTTCATGCAATATTGCTGAAAAATCGCCATGAGCTGGGTTTTCATCATTAGTCCAACTGACAGGAGAACTGAAAGAGTCATCCGATTCTCAGAATATTGTTTTTAATGTTATTATAATGTCCACAAACACAAATTTCAACTGGACTATAATATAAATATTTAGGGGAGAAAATGAGGTGAATCTAGTAAACCTTCTTCCGAGATTGGTAATATGATAAAATTCTTGAGAAGAAATAACAAACCGCTGATCGGTTGAATAAAAAAGGAGTGAAAATATTACATTACAGTGATTAAAATGATTGAAAAATAAATCTAGCGGAGATTGACAAGCAAAACAGTAATGCAACGTACTATTGACATACACTTCCACCTCTTTCTCTTCTTTTAAAGGATAACATACAATGTTATCGATTGGCATATATTAGTGAGTATTTCTGTAAGGCCTTACACTATTTCAGTTTTAAAATCAGGAAAATTGTGGCAAAGCCGAGTATTTCAATGATCAAGAAAAGAGGGATGAAGCAGTAATTTCTTCAAGAGCGAATTAAACAAAAAAAGGATGGAAGTATTGAAAGTTATTCGGTAAAAGAATGAAGGGAATGTTACTGAAGTGCGCACTTGAATTTTCGTGAAAGCAGAAAAGAGAAGGGAAAGGGAGTGGAAAGAGAAGATGGAGGATTTGGATGAAACAGAAGTGGTACCTCACCAATCCCACCGACCATTAAATGGTTGTCGTTTCCTCGCTATGTTTCGAGAAAGAGGATCGCATTTGTCGATTATCGAACTTGAAATAGCTCACGACAACATTTGTGGAGTTTCCTGTCTGAGGAAAGGTATGCATGCCTGTTGAACGGTTTCTGGCTAGTGTTTCCTACTGCTTCACAAGCGACGCTTACAGCAAGAGTTACACAGCATGCATCCATGTCGATCGCTTCAAGGAGAGGTCATCATCGTATGTCCGTGCCCGTCTGGTCCTATCATCCATTCCGTTGTCGTTCGCCCAGAAGATTCTCCGATATCACCGCCTAAGGAGCCACTCACTCCACTGGTTGAAGCAGACAATTGCACACAGCATGCATTAACTGATGAGAATGCGCAAAAATATTGGCCATCAGTTGTCAGTATTCACAACTCCCACTGTTTTAGTAATGAACAGCTGATCCCATCATTCTTTCTCCAACCACTTTTCCGCTTCTTCCCTTTTCTTTTCCTCTTTTTTGAGTATTTGCGAAACATTCATAATGCTTTGACCAACATATAAATTTGACATCATTTACATAATGATATGACCCGCATATGTCTTCTAACTTATTACGATTAATGGAGTTTCTCATCTCGAAATTGGGTATTATACATTGAACACATTTCCAATCATTTACAATCGATGAATTAATTTCGAGATAGAACACTTTGTTCTGAATGAATTTTGGAAAAAAAACATTTTAAAATGCACAAATTGAAAAAGAAAGAGTGGAGTATACGGGAAAAAGTAGAGCGCCCACATTATGATTGATTTCTTTTCTGCTTCAAAACGATGTTAACGAGTTAATTCTATTGATGAGTGATTGGGAAGAAGGTTTTATGTTTTTCCAATTTAACATCCATCAATTTTATTTGAAATTATAAGAAATGAGATTACCGATGTTTTTTTTTTTGCTTTTTTATTTCGTAGTATATTTAGCAGTTAATACAACAGCTTTGTTATCGTCTCTCGCTGAAGTTTTTTTAGCCGATAATGCATATGAACAGCAACTCCTAGAAATTAACATTTAGAAAGCATGCAATATTCATAACTTAAAATTACAGATGGCAAATACGACTTATCATCCTAGAAATCTCTTTCCATCCCTTACGTCTAATTCGCATTGGTAACACCTCGATACCACTAACAGTGCTCATGTGATGCTTAGAAACCTAAAAGCAGTTCGGATGTTGCTTTAAGAATAGTGTATCCTTCTAAATTAGCATGACATTCTAAAACTTTATGGTTGGTCTAGTTAATGTACACATCAATATGAATGCAAAAGAGTAGTCTGAATTACTAATTTTTACATATGCTACTATTTCATTTGATAACGGAAATATGAGGAATATATCTGAAATCATTAAGAGTTCGCCCATAAAATCGAAATTTTCGGCGCCAGCTTCAAAGCGAAATTAATGAAATCTAAGTTCTCAAATCGCTACTAATTGAATATTCTTTAAATATGTTTATATCGTTGAAGTAATAACTTTCACAACTTCCGTAAATTGCTGCATTTACGACAATATTCACAAATCTGACTACTGCCGGACATGAAATTGCAAAATATTTGCCAACATAAGTAATGCTACAAGACAAAATAACTACTACTAGCATGGGCGGAAAAGTTGACTGGTAGAGACAGTGAACTGTTTACTGAAGTCTATTATTTGAAAGCTAATGTAGTCTTCATTTTCCTGCAGTATTAGCCAAAGAAATCAATATGTACACTCTCCTATACAACTCAATATAATACATACTGTCAACAAATGATAATATGTACTGTATGTATACACCACTATTCTTTCCATGTTTAAACTTTGTGTTTTATTTGAGTTGTTAAAGTTTGAGAATGAAATGCTTAAAAAACATTAATAAGTTAATGAATTGAATTGCTTGGGAAAAATCATAATGTGCATATAATGCAAAAAGGTTCAGTTAGATAGGTTAGGAATGGAATCTACTACAACACAGTGAGTTGCATAAATTTGTGTCCGAATTGCGGCTTACTTCAGAACATTTAATCATGACGGACAGAGGAATGAAAATGTGTAAGGAATGCGCCTTTTTTATTCACATGTCAAATGCTCAAATTCGACATTTCTAATTGTGGTATTTCACCACTCGTGATATAAATCATTCCTGCATTCATTGATTAAAGTGTTGAGTGGAATGCATAACCATATCACTATTCATTCATATCTGCTCCATTTGTGCATTATTAAAAGCAATAACTGGTATGAAATTAAAGCAAATAACAATTGTAATTATATTTGTGTTTTGGTAAAATTCAGAATGAAAAAACTCAAGACAACTCCATAGACTTTATCACATAACTTCTACTTTCTTCTCTTCCCATTTTCAACCCCGTAAGATTACACTTCTGAAAATAATTTTCCATAACTCTCCCGGAAAAAAAATTTCCCCGTAACACATTTGTCACCATACTCCAAAGATATGTAAAACCAAACCAAGAATTTCCGCTTTTGTGTTGATGTGATAATGAATATTATCACATTACAGAGTAAAAACAAGCGAACTGAAAGTGAACAGTCTACTGTGACCGTAGATTAACTACGATGGTTGAAAGATTACAACAAGGACCGCTTCGAAGTGTTTGCTCAGATTCGATATTATCATATATCACAAGCATTGAACAAATGGTCATGTTAATTCTCACAAATATTTCTGATTATTTAAATTAAACTTTAATATACTTGATGTAAAAAATACCTTAATGGACTTGATAAGAAAATAAAAAGTTTTCCTTTATTTTATTAGCTGCATGAATTGCATAATAACAAATTCAATCGACAGGAAGAAAAAAAACTAATTTGACTGACATGAAGTTTAAATTTTTTGATGTAAAGTTAAATTTCCATGTAATGAAGAAGAGAAATAACTGTTCAGAAAAGCTACTAGAAACACTGGGAATGGTATGCTGAGTCAGTAATGATGGGTAGATGAACGTGAAAACATATCTATTTGTAAAGTAATTACTTGTTAATATATGAGCAACAAAAAATATGGTGAACATAATAAAAATAAAAACGTTTCATGAATTTATTTACTCAATTCAGTAAAATCCATCGCATTGTTGAGGAGGAATAAATCATCAAGTTTAATAGAGCAACAGTGGTAAGGATGCTTGTTGACAAAACGGAATTTAGGAATTCAATATAAGCAACAAGAACAAATTGTTTTAATAAATAGGAAAATCCTTATCAACAGCGTGGTACCACTTCTCATAACCACCATCGATATCTTTGATGGAAATCAAAGAATCAGCAAATTCTTTACGTAAATACAGTACTGCTATTTGCGAATCCTCACCTCTACGACAAATCACATAAACTGCAAACATACTAAGCAAATTAATGAAATACAGAAAGCAAAATACATTTTGATCTATATGTTCTGGCCCATGAAATAACTATTTAGCGGATTATGAATAAAGATGAAAGTAATCACTCCTTCCCTTCCCTCAATCTCATCATTCAAAATATCAAAAAAAAAAAAATTATTTCATTCCTGAACATTTCAGAAATATAAACGTCCTTTACAAATTAACTCAATGGAAAGCTGAAAAAAGTGAGGAAAAGGAAACAAATGTCTGTTCAAAACTGTAAGAACTTAGAAACTAACTTCCTTTATCTCTTATTTCATTGATGTTCGTTCCTAGCTCGCGCATTATTTCTACTGAATTTGAAAGACAAAGCCTTACCATCGGTATATCTGAAGGAATGTCAATAAAGTTTAATTCTCAAAAGTCATAAGATAAAAGTGATAGCAGAGATGTAAGAAATTACTGATAGCATTAGGTAAATGTCCAATGCTAAACTCGTGCGGCGGTCTCGTATCTAACAATAACGGCTTCTTGTCACTGTTTTCACTGAGTTTAAAATAAAAATATGGATCGATACGATCGCTTTTGGCCAGAAGCTTGTTCTGAAATGAAGCCTCAAATGACAGAGCAACTCGCATTTGTTTCAATCTGAATCGATAGATATTAGAGCAATGCTGTTTGTTAAGTAACGTTTTTATTTGAAAGCAACACTAAATTCGCTTAATAACATGATCTCAATTGTCCAATACAATTTTTGTTTTTTATTTTTGATGTTTTATTTTATTCATTAAGTAATTTACCTAATTTTGTAGGTGCAACAAGAATTTTTGTCTTCTAATATAAATGGCTTACTGAAATATGAAGTGACGTTTAAAAACCCTAAATCTATATTTATTTTCTAACAATAGATGACATTACTACATAGTATCTACTATAGAGTGTCAATTAATGCTAGGGATTAGTATTTAGAAAACTGAAATCATTTTTTCTATCCTTTCACTAGCATTTTCCTTTGCTAAATGAGCAAGATCGCTCCGTTCAACAGAAAATTAAATCAGATGGATATCAAAATTCTCAACAAATCCAATGTCATACATAAACAGTATAGCTCGGAAATTTTAGACCTTCCGACACAATTTTTTTTAATAAAATTTTTACACGTATCCTAATTGAACACCCATATAATTCTTTGCAATCTCCAAGTTCAGTGATCGTTGCGTTCTTACCGCACACTGCACAGTCAGCTTTTTGTCGTCTCAACTTGATAGTTTTTGCTTTACCATTAAAAGCATCGAACAAATATAAGAAACCAGCAAAGGAGCCGGAAATAAACCGATAAACAAAGCTAACACGATTATCATTACATTGAAAAGAGTTACATTACCAGCAACAGCATCATAAACACAAATTTAACAGAACAAAAGCTAACAATTACTTGAATAAACACTCAAAATTTTAAAAAAATTACATTTTTTGATTGCAGCAATTTTGATGATTTCATTAGCTTGCATACTGCCAATTACACCAACCACTGGTCCTAGAACTCCATTGTCTGAACAGTTTGTAACAGTATCCGCCGGGGAAGGATCAGGAAATATACAACGGTAACATGGACTATCCTTAAAACGAATAAATTCTAATATTATTTTTCAAGCTTTCTTTGACTGTTTACACGAATGGAAAAAACCATATCATTCTTTGGCTTCAATCTTAGTATCTAAAAAATCAATTCAAGCACAGCCTTACCTTACCATAATTGTACACCGACAACTGACCATCCCAACGAACAACACTTCCCGATACCAAAGGTTTGTTCGCCAGTACACAAGCATCATTGACCAAATATCTAAAAACAATTAAAAATGAGGATTGCAATTTATACAGCTCTGAGGATGTCATAAACATTTTATTCAATACGGCTAAAGTGGTCTCTAAATTTGAAATCTTCAACTTCCAAACTAAATTTGTTGCAACAAATTTCAGGCTGCAATCTTTAGAAAGAAAGAAACCAAAAAAAGCACGTAACTTGTAGAGACGTTGTCCGTACAATCGGCGACAATATCATAATTAGAAATAATTTGTAATGCATCGTATTTAAATAGATAATTTTTATATACATCGATAAGAACATTGCTATTCAACCTTAAAATTCGATGAAATTCAGCATTTACTTACTTAGATAAAGAAAAACAGAAAGATAAAAACTAAGAAATTAAGTCCTTTTGGACGAAGCTCAGTATGACAATTAATCTTGTCCTGTCTTAGCATTATATAAACTGCGGACTTCTACCGCACCTTTCAATTGATGATTTTATCGATTCTGCTTTTGACTGGCCTAGAGAGTGTTCATCATATGCAATCTGACGGTGAAGATTGTCGGAGGAAATAAAGTCACCATCCACAATACCGATTCGACCAATTCCTCAAAATTTATAATCACTACAAGTAAGTTAGAATTAAATCATGAAAAAGAAACTTGATAAAAAATATATTACCAGCTCCAGCGCAATAAAGCGCAACGGGACATCCCAAACCGCCAGCACCAACAATCAGTAGTGAAGTGGCCCGGAGCCTTTCTTGACCTGAAGGAAAAAAATCATTAACTTTCAAAAATATTACAAAAGCTGTTTCTATAAGAAAATTATTTATACAAGCACATAGTGCTCCAAAATGTAAGTAAATTAGTCACTTAATGAACACCTACTGAAATAAATTCAAAAAGAAATTCAGCAAGTTTTTAAAGGCAGCTGAGGGTACGTTCACTTCCACAATGAACATACTCTTCAACTGCCTCTAAGGATGGTAAGAAAGTAATCACAATTACATTTACGATATACCATACAAATACTTAATCAAACCTATGCAGTGAAATGAAATGTTCAACCTTGAACACCGAATTCCTGTACCAGGATTTGTCTGCTATATCTTATCACTTCATCGTTTGACAAATTGTGCTCTTTCACAGCCATCATCTTGTGAAAATTAGTGTTTTATCCTCACCTATTAGTATTGTCTACAAGAAAAGTATTTTAAGGAAGAAAACCCGATTTTTTCAGTTTCCCTACAGCCTCCACTTCGTCAACGGTACCTTCCTTCTTTGCTCCTTACCTTATCACTGGAAACAAAAACAAGAAAAGTTTACAATGATCTGGAAGACATACCACAATGCAATGAGCCTTATCGTTTACAAGGTAATATCCCATGAGATTGTTACTGGAAGTTTAGTCTGTTACATAATATTTCATCTTTGGTACCACTGACTCAAAAATCACCTTAATATAGCACGATGTTCACTAAGCAGTATGCACTGTGTTAATGCCATCAACTTCACACCTTTCATTTATCAATCCTATTCACTATTCTCATTCTCATTTCAACGTTATAACCGATATTCCCCCGTTTCTGCCCGCCCAACCGCACCACGACTCGCAATCGCCATCGTATGCCATTGCATTACTGCACAGTGCCTTACTTTTCGCTACGCCACGCCCCACCTGTTGACCTCTTTGTTCAGGTAAATAAGTGGATGAATGCGCTAAAACTGTGTAATAGCTTTAAAAAAGTGAAAGTTTAGCTATGAATAAAGTTTTAAAAAAGTCACGCATCGGGTTAATATCATTAGAATTCCATTTGCGCTGAATTAATAATAATGATAGTGAATTATACTCAACTATGGGTTACTAAAGTGCTGTCACGTTACGACATCATACGTCAACTTCTAACACGTTGCAAATCAGATATAAAGGTACTGAATTATAATTTCGGATATGAAATTCACTGAATCGTAGATGTCATCATACATCTTATGATTCCATTTCTTTAACATTAAAACCAAAAAATGAAATGACTCGATGATGCGCTTAGCACGCTTAAAATTTCCTACTTTATTATAATTGTAAATCTGGGTATAAGCAAAGTCCTTTCAGGTTAATTTGGGCATAACAAAATTCTGTCAAGTAAAATATAACAAAAATAACGGTCGTTACATTTTATTTTAATCTTTAATACATTCGAGAGATGGTATATAAATATATATGTACAGTACAAACGAGTCATGTAATCAGCTTATCAGAATTTGGACAGAGAATATCAGGGTTGACATGCAGGATAATTTCTCAATTTGTAACAATAATCCTCTGATATATCTGTTTCATGATCAAATATGAGATTTTGCTAAATTAAATTCTTTCAAAATTTCTGCTTGAATTTTTTTGGCTTTTTTGAATTAAATTTTGTCAGAAATACTTGTTTTCATAAATATGGATAAAAGGTTTCAAGTTAGACAACTATAAATATGTAAACAATCTGAAAATATTTTTTAAAAAATAAAAACAATTAATTTTTTTTGAAATTTTGTTGTAATAATTATATTCAAAAGTTGGAAATAATTCGTTTTATTTTCAAAAATTTTTGAGCATTATTCATAAAGCTCGTAATATTTTAAAAAAAGTCGACAATTTGCGCGCACAAATGCGACTCTAGTAGGCTCTTCCATGATGAACCATTATTGTAAACTGAGAATAGAAAATGAAAAGCAAACTCGGCTGATTTGAAACAATCACTCTATAAGGTGATTGATATGAGAAAAAAAGATATTTTTAGTATTTTTAACTTTTAGCAATTCTTTTCTTTTTTTTGCCTAATTCTATCTCAACACATAAATTTATTTATCATTATTATATCACACATTGATGATGATATTTTGCCCCTCAGTGAAATATCTATCATAACATACTGAACACAATTCTTTTTTCCTAGAATTATTTTTTCTGAATTAATTTTGCTACTGTGAATTTTTCATTCATGCAATTTACAAATATAAAAGAATAAATAGTACTTCAAAGAGATATTGAAAGCTGTCTGCTCCTTTCCTTTTTTCGAAAAAAGGGTAGAAAAGCCTAAAGCAATCAAAGTTTGTTCGATAAAATATGTTTCTTCATGCCTCTATTTCTTATCGTTAATTTTTTATCTTCATCTATCCGTGACAGCTAATGCACCCTGCAAATGTGTCGCCACCACACCTCATTGTAACCCGCTTAGCCAATAATGGTATGTCTGCGTATGTCTATATGTATATGTGTGCATGTGTATGTGTGCAGGTGTGTATGTGTGTATGTGTGTGTGTATGTTTGTTGCAAGAATATCGCAAGTATTAAGCAAATATTTTTTGAAACAAATATAGAGTTTTTGAAAAAAACATTCAAAGTTTTTTGTCTATTTTATTACAAATGATGTTTTTATTTCTGAGCAAAA